TCCTCGACCGACCTGCCTTAACTGAACATTATATTCTAATTAGAAGCTGAAAGAAAAAAAATTGCTCATGACTTGCTGGACCAAAATTAACTGAACTCGGTTATGATCTACTTAGGTACGATCGAACTTAAGTGTGGTTTTTCTTAGAATTTCTCAATATAATCCGCACCCTAAACCTTAATGTGGCTGAGTAAACAAGGATATATGCTGAAGGAGGATTTACCTCTTAGTTCGCTCGACGGAAAATGGAAATAAGCGTGGCTTCTTCCTCACGGGCTCCGTGCGGTGCTTCAAGCTTTGCCGTGCAATTGCGATGGAATTTCTAGGGAAATTTTGCTTGATTTGCTTGCTGTTGGAGAATATATGTAGAGGATATATATATACTGTACGGCTTCCTTAAGGAAAATGGAGGAAAAATTACTCAATCTCCCCCTATATATACTCGGACGCACAAGATGGGGTGATGATGTAGGTGTTGTGTGGCTTAAGGAGAACTTGCCACTTGCTTGCTCCTCATGCTTCTCTTAATGACTAAGCTATCTCTTTAATTGACAAATGACTTAACTTGATTGGAGGAAATTTATTTCCTTGGTCTTAAGGATGCTAACGGAAATGGCTTAATTTTTGGGAAAAATAATTCTATTGCTTACGGCTTTTAGGGCTAATGATGTGATTAATTCACTAATTAATCACCATTTAAGTTTAATTATCTAATTAAACATAATGCTTAATTACCAAAATTATTTCAAACGTAATATGTACGTCGAAAATGGATTTCGGTAATTCCGACTGAACTTAATTAATTCCGAAAATAATAAACGATAAACATTATTATATCGGAATTAAATGTAATTTATACCGATAAATTATCGGGATATTACAATCCTCCCTCCTTACAAAATTTCCGTCCTCGGAAATTCAAAACATGACTAATATACAAGAACTGTGTACATAAAATAAGGAAATATGTATATCAAAACTGGAAATCTGGAAAACGAGCGCGAATGTCCGACTCTTCCTCCCAGGTAGCTCCGTGGCGATCCCACTGAATGCGCACGAGGGGAATATCTCGCT